GAATAAACTAAGCGACAGGAAGTCACCTGGCCGGAGGCTGTAGAGACCCTTCACCACACTGGCCATGGTCGACGGCTGCACATGGAAAGGCATCGAATGAGCTTCGATCAAAAGAGCTGAGGAGGAAAATAAGATCCAAAAGAATCTCAAAGGTGGACTGAAGATTTTGCACAGAATGACGAACGCGTCAACTTCAAATTACAAAATCAGATTCATCAGGCAGTAACAAACAGGAACAGGGTTAACATCAGCCCCGTGGGTCGGCAGGAGGACCTGGTGGGCCACTGGTCTTCAATGATGGGGTCGTGACCCCTAGTGGGTCCATGGAGGTACTGCAGTGGTCAATTAAGACTTTTAATACATTGTAGTTTATTATGAAACACATTAGTGGCTCTTTACACCATCTCTCCATCTGTTAGGGGGTTCCAGACTGAAAAACACTGAAGACCCCCCAGCATAGACTATACACATCAAGAACACGTGTCAAACTGAAGGCCCGCAGGCTATATGTGGCCTGTGAAAGCTTTAAAGATGTATTAATGTCTTAAAATAAGCTGCTTTAAAGCCAGCAYTGATTATAAACTACATCTCCCAGAATGCATGTGGCTTAGTTTGCATCCCACCACYAGGTGGCGCTGCACAGGGTTCAAAAGTAGCAGAATTCTCCATTTCACTGCATTTTTATTGGATACTTTTGCTGCGGCACTTATGTACTGGGAAGTGGGAAATTCCCACTTACAAGTTGTAAATTTAAACTGGAACACCTCCTTTAATGGGAATTCCCTGTTGGAAAGTGAGAGAGCTCAGAATTCAAGATGGCAGCCACTCACAACTCATAATTGAGTAAAACTGTCTTACTTGTACTTTTAATAGTATTTCTGTTTTATTTATTTCAAATTTATAGTCGTACACGTAATAATTTTAGTGTTTATAAGAGGACGTGTTAAAACACTGTTTCTATGCAGGAAATACTAGGTAGAGCTGCTGCTGTTTTAAAGAGTCAGTTGAGGTGGTTCATCTGATCGTAATTCCTCCTACAGGTGTTCTGGACATGCCACACTAGTAGTAAAAAGGTATCTAATGGGTCGGCACTTTTACGCTCAGGCAACTACCTGATAACACCATTAATGGGTGTTAAACGTTTCTGTGAGCATATTAAAAGGCAGCACACTCACGCATCAGTGTGCTCAAATGTCTCTCAGCCACCAGGTCAGCAAACAGCTTCATCAGGTCGTCTTTCAGGTCTCTGTTGAGTTTGGACTCGATGTAGAACTTGTTCTGAAAATTAGCAGAGGGTTATTACTCGGGTTAGGAAGGTGCAAAAAAAAAAAAGAGTAATTTAGAAAACATAATTTAACCTACCAAGTATATAAAGACTGGAACTATACATTCAAGAGAAGCTGTGTATTGTGTGAGAGCCACGTTGAAGTTCTCAATGAGGTTCTCAGCTGGACAGCACTGCAGAAAACATGATGAAGAGGCTCGTTTTAAAAATGATGTCTGTGTAAAATTAACACTTTTGTGTAGTTTCCTCACCTGCAGCTGTGAGGAAACCAGCAGCAGGCGATCTGTTATTTTTGACGTCAGGTCACTGTAGAGCAGCTCTGAGTGCTGCTGGCAGACACACTTGTAGATGTAACTGACAAAAACAAACAATAAAAAATTAAAAATAAAAACATTTCAGATGATTGACCATAAAACTCAAGGAACTCCACAACTGATCCTTTCAGATTTTAGATGTTGAGACAGAAAATAAGTCGTTTCACAGTGAGAAATAAGCTCCTCCGGCCAATTCTGAACACAAAAATAAAGAAATAAAACATCCTGGCACAGGTGTGTCTGCAGGTGCAGGTGTGTCTGCATCCCATCTCACCCATAAATCTGTGCGTAAGACACCGACGTGTGATCCGAGGGGTTCTGGAAAAGCAGACGGTCAATTGCCTCCTCCAGGTTGGGCCAGTGGTTTTTCCTGTAATCTTCTACAGCCATTGCATTCAAAACTGAGAGGAGAAAAAAGGAAACAAGGTTCATGTCCAACGAGTGCTTCACTGCGCATGCGTAATAAGCGGCTAAACGCTTGCGTGCTATTTTAACGATGCTACAGACTTTCTGAAGCATAAAACCAGGAGTTGTCATCAGTTATAACATAAATATCCAGAATACTCAAACGTCAGGCCCGGTTGGTGAACTTACGGAACTTTGAAGAAGAACCGAGGCAGAGTTTTCCCTCCGTGTTAGCTGCTGCTGTTAGCGTCAAATCAGCCTCGCTGACTTCGCTGCTTTCGCTGCCCGTATCCGAGTCCATAAACCTCGACCCGACCGAACCACCGGACCACAGTCTGCCCTGCCGAGACTTCGGCTCCCCTCCGGAGACCGCTGCCGGACAGGCGGGCGGCGGGACTGTCGTTAAATCCGACATCTGGACTTTACTGCTGCCGCTCCCACAGTAGTTGTGGTTGTGGTCGTCTTTAACGTCGTCCTCCATCGCAGCCTCCATTTTCACAGCTGGACCCAAGGTCCGAACCTCACCAGAACCGGATAAACATTTCGGGTAAATGACAACGAACGCAAAATAAACAAGCTGTCAGCCGTCTTCGGTAGTGTACATACAGCTTCTGCTCCGATTGGACATTTACGACACGTCGTAAAGCGCTGCGGCAAAGAGCATGCTGGGAAATGGAGTTTCGAGACGCTTCTAGCCAGATGTCCAGTCTCCTAGTCTGTTAATCAAAATGTCTCATTAACCACGGGACGGAATTTAATGAAACTTTTAGAAAGTTATCACTGGATGTCCAACTACAACATATAAACATCTGGAGTAATTTGGATCTAAGATGGCTACTATATCTAAGCAGAATTGTAAAGTATACAAATACTTTGTTACTGTAGTTAGGTAAAATTTTGGGGTATCTGTAATTTACTTGAGTAATTATTTTTCAGCCTACTTTTTACTTCTACTTCTTACATTTAAAAAAGGCAAGAAATAGAAAGTTGTTACTTTTATTTTATTTTTTCTTGTTTTCATTCCAGCTTGTTATTGTAAAAAATAAAAACTATCCATATAAACTGAGCCTCCTAGATAGAGTGAATTTAACTGTGGTTGAATGAGAAGTATAAATATATAAAACTCTGATAGTGTATTAGTTTGTACACAAACAAATCATGTCACACTCCAGCAGGACATAATCATTAAAATAAAAGGACTGTACTTAAGAAGTATTTGTATTTCATGAATTATATTATTACATTTGGCCGCAGATTTTAATTTTGAAGAAAATGTTTGGGCACCCTAAATGTAAATGAACTTTAAACAGCTAGTGCATCCTATATTTAAAATTATTTTAATACGACAGTCACCTCCTAATAAATATCATTACAGAAAATCTAACAGCTCATTTTAAATCAATACTTTTAATACTTAAGTACAAAAAATATCAGATACTTTGTCTTTTACTCAAGTAATATTCCTAAAGGAGACTTTAACTTTTACCAAAGTCAGTTTTTGGTAAGATACTTGTGCTTTTACTCAAATATCACTTTGTAGTACTTTATACAAACACTGCATCTAAGTATTTATAAAACTACAAAATTGTTGTAGCTCAGTCAGTTTTATAGACATTGAGATCAAACATGAGGTGGTAGCTGAGTCGTCCCAAACATACATTGTGTGCTAATATGGGCTATGTGCAAAGTCTTTGTTTAAAAGTTTGCCTACACCAGTTTGTGGTTAACTGTTAGCAAAATATCACACAAACCAATTGAAGGATTTTAATGAAACTTTCACTGAATGTACGTCCACAACTAAGCACCACAGCTAATGGCGCTAATAAACCCCAAAAGCTGTGGGCACAGCTAACCAAGGGGTTAGCTTCACTAACTTAAAATTCATTTAAAAAATATAGCTTCGCTAACRTTAAATGTGTAAATATATTTGTAGCGGGAGCTAACACCAACGGCTAATCGCTACCCGCTAAGACAAATGTATGTCTGTGTCACGTCATTGACTCCAAGCTGAAAACTGGTGAGACTAACGAAAACTGTTGATGTTAGCAAATGTAAAGTTGGCAAAACCTAATTTAATGAAAACTAACTGATTAGTGGACCCATGCCCAGCACTGCACATTAATGGCCATTATTGAGCTAAATTTACCGATAAAGCTAAAATTCGTAATTATAGCTAAGATTCACGACTAGCTGAAACTTAATCAGATATTGAACTACATCCTAAAGCAAAAAAGTAGCTAAATGTTTAGACAACATTGGGCCTCAGGCAAGAATATTTTCGTATTCTTATCCCAAATTTCTCTTACTTTTGTTCGTATGAAGGGTTCGTATCTGAAGTTTGACATCTTCATACTAATATTGTAGTGCTATACAACAGCATTAACAGCCAGTTTAATTTAATCTAACCAATTTATCTTGTTAGTCTACATTATTACATTTAAAATTATGATTTTAGTTCAAACTTTTCAACTCGAAATATATTCAAACTAATGAAATATAAAGTTATTGTGAAGAAAATCTGTCCAGATAACAGCAGACTGATTATATTGAATATACGACAGGTCTGGACCACAAGTGAATTTTGTTCGTATCTGAAAAAAAAATCTTAGAATACGATAAAATTGATGAATGCCACAAATTCTCCTAAATCACTCGTACACACAATTTAACAAATCTGTGCGTACTAACGGTTCTTGCATGAGGCCCATTGTTTGTACTTCTCAAGTTGACACTTGGTTGGTGTAACTAAAATAGAATTATTTACTTAGAACTTTAGGTGGACAAAAAATAAGCAACTAGGATGAATAAAAAATAATCTTTTCAAGTTTAACAAAACATCACCTTGCAAACAGAAAGTAAATCAAACTTTGCGTAGACACGTCTTCCACACAACAACTCAGTATGTCAACACATTATTGACATTTTACAGGCATTTAACTCCTTATTGTTTAAGGAAAACGACTCAGGCAACAAAACCAGTTCTGTATGGAAGGAAAGAAAATTTTAAAAAGTGCCATTATCAATGTAATTATATTCCAACATAACCAAAATCCTTCTCAATATAATGTCTCTGGTATCAACTTTGTACAGATTTAAAAACTAGCATCTACTCCTCGATGAGCACGCGTCGCGTCCAAATATAAAAATATGAGGCTTCACCAGAAAAGTAGCTGCCAGACGTAGAGGAAACGCCTCGTCAGAAAAAAAGGACAAGTTCAAAGATAGAAAACTCAGAACGGACGTGTGTTAAGTGTTCTTTGGTCTGAAATGAAAAGAGGTCCTTTTTTATCTAATTTCCCTCTGGGATCAATAAAGTATTTTTGAATTTAATTGAATTTTCCCTCCTAGAAAAGGCTGAACTGAACTATATGWGCATGCTAGACAACCGGTGTGTAAAACTTACAGTACGCAATGTTAAACAGGCAGCAGGCGCACAAATTTACATGTTTCACAACTGTAACGTTAAACTGAAGATAACATGACAGAAATTAGCATTTCGCTAACGATTTGGGCAATATATGCATTAAAGCTTAATTTAACGTTGTGTTGATGCGTAAAAGATTATTAACTTTTCATGTAAATAAAAAATAGTTTGTTTCTCAGTGGGATGAGACTGTGAGCTTCTACGTGTTTTCCTGTCGAGTTTTGAACGAGTTCAAAATAAAATCAAAGAATTTCTGCTGGTGAAAACACCCAGACTGACACAAAAAATGTGTATTTTCTCACAGTTTGCGCCCAGTGAGATACTTCCTTTAGTAAACAGTTTTTCAGACACTGAACGTTGAAGAGCCCTGCTGCGAAAACRTAAAAGGCGCAAACATTCGAACTTTATGAAAACAAAACTATGACGAGTCAAAAACAAAACATTTTTCTGTATGGATGAAAAAGAATTAGTGCTCCGTCAGATCTCCAGGGTCCGYTGCGCTCAGAGTCTGTTCAGAAGTACTTCCTGTCAGCGACGTCCCCGTCGTCTCGTTGGACGGAGCGTGTTGTAAAGTGTCTTTCAGGCACGTGTCTCCGTCCTCCACCGCGTCCTCCAGCTCACTGTCGTCCTCGCCATCTTCTTGACTGCACTCCGAGCCGTCGCTGTCGCAGGAACTCGACGTCTCGTCTTCGGAGTCCGAGTAGACCTCGGCCCCGTGGAAGATGTAACGGTTTGGTGACAGGAACAAGTACTGACCCCCTGAGAGAAACAAAGAGTGTTTATAATGGTGACAACCATTAATATTATATCACTGGACTGGGCGTCACATGACCTGGCCGTGGGGGATTTTTATGCATTGAGCTAACGCTAATGCTAACCATTGAAATCAATGAGCAGAACGTAGCGCAGTGAAAACAAAGGCTTGTGAAAACAAACGAAAATGGTACAAACACTTTGCTATAAACTACAAMGATTGTTACATGTTTACAAGAGCAAAAACGGTTATGTTTCATAGGTAAATATTACACATATAATTATTTTAATCGTAAAACCTCTATGCTAACATTAAAAAACTTCAACATTCATGTTTAACCTTTTTTAAAATCGATTTTATCTGTTGTCAAATATACTGTATTATTTACTGACGTGTAAAATATGGACTTTATTGGATAGTTGACTAGTTATACTGTATATAAATTTAGAAATTATGATGTAGACTCACTAATGACAGACACTAATGTAATAATTGAGCATCATAAACATAAATAGTCACGTTGTCAGACAGGTCGGTTTATTCAGATATTTTCTACATCCAGTATTTGTGTTTTTCAACATTTCCAGAGAAAAAAGGAGGAAAAAACATGTGTGTCAGCTGTGGGTCGGCTTCAGATACAACCTGCATAATTGTGAAACTGAACAATAATACTA